TAGGGTGTTAACATACCAAAAGTCCTGACTCCTAGGTGGTGAGCCAGGGGAGGAGGGGGGGGGCAAAGGGGGGATTAAAGGTACGCATTTTGGGTTTTTCGATTATATCTCGAAAACTATAAACTTTTTGTATACTATACTAAATTATAAAGTTGAAGAAGATTAAATTTTCTACAAGAAAAGTATATAATGTGTTTATTTTGGTTAAACAATTTACGAGTTATTACTAATTTAATTCATATCTTATTAAAATACTACTTCCATAAGAAATACATGATGCAAAATGGGGCAAATCCTACCCGCCTAAAGGAAATATAACCGATATTCTGGAAATCTTTGTAAAATTTCCAGCAATTTGACACTTTAATCATAAAAATTGATCCAAAATTAAGGCGATGGCGAGGTAACAAAAATGTCGTGTTTTGGTGTTTTTTATTAAGAATTATAAAAAAACCTCAAATCATCCCGTTTTTAAACGCTCACCATCACTTTAATTTTTTACAAAATTTTATAATTTAAGTGTCAAATTGCTGGAAATTTTACCAAGATTTCCAGAATATCGGTTATATTTCGTTTGGGCGGATAGGATTGGCCCCATTTTGCATACTAATTTACATGTATTTCTTATGGAAAAATTATTTTAATAAGATATTAATTAAATTAGTAATAACTCGTAAATTTGTTAACCAAAATAAACACATTATATACTTTTCTTGTAGAAAATTTAATCTTCTTCAATTTTATAATTTAGTATAGTATACAAAAAGTTTATAGTTTTAGAAATATAATCGAAAAACCCAAAATACGTACCTTTAACCCCCCCTTTTCCCCCCCTACACCCCCTGGCTCACCACCTAGGAGTCAGGACTTTTGGTATGTTAACACCCTAAGCCCCCTGAACAAATTTCTGAAGGAATCGCTTAGTTACCTGCTCACGCACTCTACACCTCATTCCTTGACTGGACTAATAAATGAAAATAGAGATTCTTTGTGTATAAAATTGTTCTTGAGTTTTGATAACTGGGGAAAAGACCTTGAATCAGTGTTGTATATGACTGGGAAACTTACATTTTTTAAATTAGCGTTTTCAGTCGAGAATCGGCACACGACCGACGCGCGTCTGTCCATTGTAAAAATAAAAGTAGGCCTACCGTGTATTTATGTTTTATTCGTCATGTGTATATGTGTACAGTTCGTGCATGTGTTTCAAAGACGCACCTAATGGGGAAGCTCAATACCTTATATTAGGACTGATGATGGCGATTTAATTTCGCCGAAATGCATAATAGGAAATGCTGTAGGATACATTAGGATCGACCGGCGGACACACGTAATTTAACCTTTTATTGATTGTCATACCGATCCTGAACAACAACAAACAACATAAAATGAAGTTATGTATAATAGTTTGGCCAGCATATCTGAAAATATGCAAAACAACTGCTGTTCTTTATACTATATAAGAAGGTTTCAACTGAATACTATAAGATCCCTGTGCGTAGAACGGGTACACATCTAGTTTCCTTATAAAATATATCATAGTTATTCCGCTGTTTACCCTAAGGGTTTGTTGACAGGCTAATAGGAGAACATTTGATTGTATCACTTTAATAATACAATAGATAGGCTAAAAAATAAGCACAAAAAATGAATTTGAAAACTTCAAAAAATTAACATGGACCTTATGGGTTGTCATGATGGTGTGCGAAATAACAACAATACCCCCCACTGCAGCAAACCTGCCAACTAAGCGAATATCCATTTGTTTGAATTGATTTTCTATTAAATTAAATCTATCTAAATAACATCAGGTTTATCGAGTACCTAGGTTTGCTGCTACAAGGAAACTAATAAACGGTGTTTTTTAGTAAAATATTAATAGCTTAGTATAAAATAAATAAAATTGCCAAGTTCGATCAAAATATATCCATTTACAGGCAAACTACAACATTTTACAATATTCTCCATTAGCAATTATCGTATAAAAACACTTAGGTATACTAAATTGTTTGTTTTTTTAAGCTCTTTAAAAAGGTCTTAAGAGAAATTTTAAGTTTTGAGGGTAAAAAAAAAAAACCAATTTTTACCCCATAAAACCCCGTTCCCATGGTCCGATCATGCTGGTTTGCGAACTCATTTAAGTTTATCCCGCCTTACCCCTTTAAACCTAATTTTATCAAAATCGGACAAAAATTACTCAAGTTATCGTCCGGACGGACACATATATAGATATATATACTGTATATACATATATTACAATTTGAAGGAATAGTGTGTTTGGCCTCTGGGGACATCAAAATGAAAAAGTAAATCGGTCCCGGGCCTAGGTCTTACCATGCCACCTACGGTAATAGCTACTTCCCTATAGGGAAATTTGCTAAAATGTAAACAGAAAATCAAAACAAATGGAAGAAGTTCCAATCACATGTTTTATTTACAGCGTGGGGAGAAAATAGAGAAGTATGTATATTAATTGTTTTTGGTAGAGTTTTCGACCACAGGACAACCTCTAGTTTGTATAATTTCACAGTTAGATGAATTAGCGCAGGCCCTGGAAAGTAACTGTCGATTTCGACAGGTTTCACCTAGTCTTCACCTAGTGAAGGCGATTTCTATGAACATCACTCCTCCGTCAATAATGGATGGATTTTTACAATCGACAAGCCCAAATAAAGTATTTTTTGTGTAGACTATTGTGTAGACACCAATTCCTGTAATAAAAGTCCCCGGGCTTTGCCCCACAAGCCATCAAAATCCCAAGGTATTTCTTATGAAGAAAATTTACTAACCCAGCTGGTAAGCTTCGTTCTGCTATTAAGTTTGTTTTTATTAAGATTTGTTAGTTGGTGCCATGTGGTCAATGAATTAGACTTTTCCTTGAGTTTTAAATGCAATACACTATATAAAGTGATGGTAATACATTAAGAAATCTTAATTTAAATAATCAATAAGTACGATTGAGCTTTGCCTATATGTTTCCTGGTAAGTGTGTTGTAACTGTTTCTTATAGTACGAGGCATGTTTTTTAAGTAAGTACCGTTCATAAATTTCTCTGTTCCAGCGCTGCGATTGATATTTTGGACATTTACGCTGTGTATGTGCATCTATTGGTAAGCCTGCGCCGGAAATTCGGGAACATTCGGCAGTGTTTACATCCGATTTCGAGCATTCAAAATGGTGCCGCCAATTGAGACTGCCACCGACTGTGAAGTGCGCGCCGTAATTAGATTTTTAAATGCTAAAGGTGTGAAAAAACTTCAAATTATTGAGGCACATTCGTGCGAAATTTGACTTATAAAGGTAAACAAACTTCGAGTTACTGAGGCTCGATGCCGGAAAATTTGAGTTACAGAGGTTGAATATTACTGTATCAATAATTGTTAAAATTCGACGTAATGAGGTTAAATAGATATAAACTTCGACATATAAAGGTACTTTTAACATTATGATTAATGTGGATTTCAAAGGGATTTAAAAAATTGTTGAGATATTAAGGAATTTGAGATATTAAATTCCGAGTAATTGAGGTTCTACTGTAATATTTTACTAAAAAACACACTTTATTAGTTTCCTTTTAGCAGCAAACCTAGGTACTTGTTAAACCAAATGTTATTTAAATAGATTTAATTGAAAATCCAATCAGGTAAATTCACTTAGTCTGCAGGCTGCGCCAGGGTTATTTTTTATAAAATCCGATGTTTTGTTATTTTAATAATGGTAAAATAAAATAAAAGTTACAATAACTTTTGGACCGTAATTTTTACATAAATGGGATTTGTACCATTTTGTTCAGAACTTAAAGGACTGCCATAACCACCCAAATATACTTAAGTTTTATCAAAATCAGTTCTGGCCATTTTCGACAAAATCCGATTTTTCCATCATCTTATGGGGTTTTATGGAAAAATCATCATAAACAATAAAAAATTTAAAAAAAGTAAAAAAAACGCTTCGAGATACCATGGATTAGTACCCACATACCAAATTTTATCAAAATCGGACTACAGGTATGGTCTAGCTCTGTACACATCCACACACACTGCACAGATATCACTTCGAAAACCACTTTTTTGGATTCAAGGGGACCCAAAACGAATATATCCATTCGAAAATTTTGACAATAACAAAACTTTCTCCATATACTATATGGTACAGGGGGAGAAAGTAAAAGTGCAATCTTAACTATAAATTTAAAGTACTTTCTCACAAACTATTATAACTGCGATTGGCCACCATATTGGACCTATAGAAAACTAACTCTGTCTTCCATAGTTAGTGTTAATGATAGTGAAATATTCTAATGTTTTGTGTATATATTGTTTTTGTTTATCCTGTACCAGTTTGGACTCTGTAAAGGAGGAACAAGCAAAATCAAGTATGACTGCTGTTATGGGACTTTCAATTCTTAAAATGTGAACAGCACCTTGCACCTACCAGCAATTGAAAAAGCTCTAGGCAATATTTTACTTTAAAAAATGATGCCCTGATTGTATGACAGTTTAAATTGATTACAGACCAAAAGTTAATCTCGTTCATGTTCGTCCAGAACCATAACAACAAACTTAATCTTTCCAACTCCATAGAAGATGTTGGTAGAATGATCGTTACATGTTAGGTGTGCACAGAAATCAAGCACATTGCTTAAACTTCTTTTTCTCTTGAATCTAACAACATGAGCATGATTTAATTGTGATCATTGACCACTGATCAATGACTATGATTAGTAGTGGGGGGGGGGGGGGTCTGTATAATTTTTTTTACCTTTAAGATAAAGTTCTTATCTTAAATATGCCAAGTTTTCCTAACCATGAGTAAGTGTTTGGACTGCCTTAAATTAGGTGAGGGATATGATTATTCATATCCATTCATTCGGAACACACTAACAAAATGTGGCACAAATTGAATTTATTTGTTCATTTATTTATCGGATATTTAATATCCCTTGGACATATTTAAAGTTAATTACGATACATGTTGGGTGCAGGAAACCAATAATCAAATCCCTAGTAAATAATATTTAATACACAAATCCAACAAGAACTACTCTAACAAACTTCTAACATGTTCGTCGGCTGCTACGTCACAAGGAGTTGATCCATCAGAGTCTTTGGCCATTGTGTTTGCTCCCTGAGCGACCAGCCACTCCACCAGTTCGGAATGTCCACACGACGCGGCGTAGTGAAGGGGAGTCTGACTATCTGCATCCCTCAGTTCTTTGTCAGCTTGTAGATCAATAACCAGGAACCGCAGCATGTCCAGGTTCCCTCGGTCCGCTGCCCAGTGCACTGGACCAAGGCCTTCAGAGTCTAAGGCGTTGATATTGTCATTCTTCGCATGCAATCTAACCTGCAAAATTTAGATTTGACAAAATTGTTTTTCATTTAACTGGGTGTTTAGTAAATCTGGTTAATAAGACACTTTTCCAGGAGAGTTTTAGACAAATCACTGAATATTAAGTAATACTATCAGAATCCTCCTATAAGCTTCATTACACTGCAAAACTTAACTATGAATTAAAAGATTGGCACTATGATTACAGAAGGGATATTTCATTATTTGTGGGAATACTTTATTAGTGAAGCTTTTAAAATATTTGTTTTAAGAAATAAGATCATTGAATTGTTGTATTTAAAAATTATATACTTTCGAAATTGCGAGATTGAAATAGTATTATTATTTCATTTTATTCATTAGCTTGTAGGCACTTTTACTTAAACCTTCCGAGGAATAAGATTCTAACATATTTATAATAGTTTTAATGTAGATGGCTTTACTGCTGCGACTGCGGCAACACCCACGAGCATATCTTGCAGTCTCAGCAACACTAAGTAATCATCTACTGTAATTGCGACAACACATGTGAGCATTTAGGCTATTGCTTCTGCGTTACCACTGATTGTCTCCTACGACCACAGAATCACCCGGGAGAAAATTTGATTGCGGACCCAGCGTCTTTCCTAATTGTCCCCAACGATCGCAGCAACACCGGCGATTGGCCGATGTTTAGAATGACCTGTCTTCCAATAATCTACTATCAACTGTCTTTGCTTTCATATTTGGAATCCCCAGAGTGTTTTTTTTATTTGTGGAGTATTCCAAAATAATATAAAATTTACGTAGGAGTCCCAGTTTTCCCAAAGAGTAGTAACATGCAAGACAAATTCATGAATATTAAGAACTACTATTGGAACCCTCCTCTTCATGACGCCACTTTTATATTAAGTAAAAATTAAAAAGATTTTGGAAGAAATAATAAGATGGTTATATTAAAACTGGGAATAGTAAAAACGGAAAGTCAAGGAAATTTTCATATGATAAAGTATTACGACTGATATATTTAGTAGAATTAGTTAATTATTGTTTGTTTTTTGCTAATGATAGTAGAGTTAAGGAATTAGAAAATTCAAGTCCATAATTTTTGAGCTTTTACTGGAGTAAACATTTGATCAACATCTGGATTAGGCTAACAAAAATTTGCTCATTTTACCACTCACTGACAGCATTTTCAACAAAGGTAGTTTTGAGGTGAGAAGAGAGATACATTTCTGACAAGAATATATTCTAATGTTAGTGTAAGCGTAATTTTTGGTCTTTCTTGTACCAGGAAGGACCCTTTCCATCCAGGCAATCTTGCTACCCTAAAAGCCCTTAAAATGTAGACTCTTGTGTTTTGTTCTATATTCACTTTTGTGTAAGTCTCTACTGATGTAATTTTGTCTCCCATTCCTTAAAATATAAAGGCCTAATACTTGTCTTCTCATCTTCTCTCTCTCTCTCTTTCATTTTTTATACCCAGAATAGCTCAATAATGTTATGAAACCCATAACATGCCCTATAAACCACTGCTCATTTGTATGATTAGTTTTACTACATGACTACATTGAACAACACACTTAGTTATGTGTTACCTACAATAGACATTAGACATCGACATCGCATATCACTGTATATCACCAAAACAAACACATCTCTCAATTTAAAGCTAGTCTAGGTACTATGAGTAATTTGCTGGACACCGTGAACCAAAAGGCCTAGAGTGTCTTTGTCTTTGAATGCGTCATTACTCGGCATCATTAGGATATTGATATTATTTTACTTTGGATCTAATCAACAGCAATGATCTCAAACAAATCTACAAGCAAGCCCTACAACTGATAACGTGACATTCCCATCAAGTGTCACGAGTGTACTCACCTTATCCTTATCACCCTCCCTCACCCAGTCGTTCAGTTTCTTCTCTCCCTCCGTAAGTTGCACCTCCTCGTTAGCCATGCTGCTGACGTTCACCCACCCCCCGCCACCGCCACCTCCCCTCTCGCGCCACTCTGGGTGTACTTGTGTTAGCAGTGCGATGTAACGCCTCATTGCCTCCTCCGTAGGCATGTCCTTCAAGGCGTTCCATGCGTCCCATTTTTGTCGAGCCGTTTGGTTGAACCAGCTTGGGCGAGATGAGTTACATCTTCCGGCAGTGGCCTGAAAAATTAATTAGTTTTTGAATTTCCAATTTTTTTTAAATCCAAACAATACTATTTCAGAAACGTTTATCAAAAAGAATGTTTTAGATCAGATTTGTTTTAAAAGAATGAATTGAGAGGGACATAACTATCAGGTGACTTACGATTAGCAAGCATAAATAACGTACAAAAGTACACACAAGCAGATAATAAAATAATTAAATCGATATCAGCTGGGCTGTATAAAAGGTTGTATCATGGAAGCAAAATATCTTGCTCGTGGCTGATTCTCCTGCTGGATTAAAGTAAAAACCCGATGCAACCATATTTATTACCAAAGGATACAAATTAGCGTCAATGATAACTGTCAATAATTTTCATCACCATGTTTGAATTATATGCTTTCCATTAAATTCTAAAACAAATTTTGCATCTTCTACATTGTGTTCAATTATAATTGATTAACTATTGTTTATTATTGTTGAGGTAATACTGTTCACAGTTAAAAAGTCTCACAATTTAGAAGAAGAAAAGACATTTCACTTCTAAGAAAATATAGGTAGGCTAGGTACACAAATCTCAATTATTATAAGGATATCAAATAGAGATTAACCGTTAAGACCTCTAGCTATATCAAGATGGCTTAAAAAAAGAATACGAGTTTAATATCTTCACCTTAGATAATACTTACTGGAATTTCTTAGAAGAATAAAACTGTTTCCAAGGGGCAATGCACTTCTCAAGTCAAAGTCAATGAGAGAATTATGTAAACAATATCCAAGCAAGACCCCAAAGACAATTTGCTCATAATTATGAACAGTAATTAGTAGCTTACTGTGTAATTAATCCCTGTTATAAAGGTTCTTGTTAAATCAAGAGCATCAACCTAAACTAACAGCTGGCGAAGTAAACACCTACCTGTTTATAGTATGAGTAGAACTCCAACAACTGTGCAGAACTCAAATCACCAACAATTGATTCAAGAAATTTTGCTGCACTTGAAAAATCATCTTTAAGGTCCGTTTCAAATTCGGCCTCAGCCATATCACTAAGTTTTTTATGGTTTAGGTTATTAGCACACAAAACTACAGACACTAATCACAAACTAGTCCCGCAACACTCAAAAGTTCTTTCCAACATTGGTGGATTTCTCCACGTTTACTCTCCAGCCTTCAATCTTGTGTATCTGCTGGTTGCTTACGTTGTCCCAAGCTTTGGCATCATTGAATGTGACAAAACCAAACCCTTTTGAAGTTCCGGTGGATTTATCAAATACTACAGTAGACTTGATCACTCGGCCAAACTCTTTGAAATATCTGAAAAACATTGTTTGTGCAATATTTTAAAGGCTCAAAGTCATTAATATATGAACTTTCATATATTCCTTTATCCTGTAGACCTTACATTGAAATACACCTGAAAAATCCTAAGTAATAAGTTCCAAACATAGAATTTTACATATTTGATAAAGATGGCTTTACACCAGGGTTTTTAAGGATTTTGTAATGGATAGGTGCAGTGGCTTAGCCAGGATTCTGTTTTAGAGGGGGGCCTGATCCGGGGGGGACAGGCTGTCCTGGTGTCAGGGCAAGCTTAGCCAGAAATTTAGGTCCTTCTCCATCTGAAGTTGAAGTATTCAACGCGTTTGTCGAGGATGATTTTTGTTGGCAACATGTTTGCTACAGAAACAAACAAATACGCCGAAGTGCCGAAGAGACGATTGCAAAAAATAATGCAAGAGGTAAAGATAAACAGTTACTCTCTGAATGGTTTGAAACATCTCCTGATGAAATGGCATGTTTTTACAGTCTATGTGTTTTGATGTCACTTGTGAAGAAAAGGACCATTCAATCGTATTGGGCCCCTACTGCTACTACTGAGACTCTGTTTTTTCAAAAAACTATGCCTTTTCATAGGTTTTTGCTCTTATCAACAATGTTTCATATTTGTGATAATAAAAATAAGCCCCAGAATGACAAACTGTGGAAACTGAGGTATGTCATTGATTATATGAATCAAAAGTTTTCACGGTTATATTTGGCCGATTAAAACATTGCAGTAGACAAGAGCTTGATGAAATTTCGTGGGAGGTTGGGGTATGTGCAATTCAACCCCAAGAAAAGAGCCAGGTTCGAGATCAAATTTTACAAATGTTGTGAGTCAAGCAGTGGATACTGTACAAAATTTAAAATATACACCGGGGCTGAAGTGAAACAAGGTGAAACAGTGGAAGAAGGGGGTGGAGACACTGCTGAGGATGATGACCTTTTGGTGAGCGAGGCCATAGTCATTGAAATGGTCATACCCTCACAATTGACAACTGGCATTCCTCACCTCTCCCCTACTATAGATTGAAACATATTGGTTTCAATGTGATTGGGACGGTGAACTCTTGGAGGACAAATATGCCTGACAGTTTCAAAAGTGAAAAACTTGATGTCGGTGAGTATGAAGTTGCGTTTAGCCATGACAAGAAAGAAGTGTGTCTCTTGTCTACTTTCCACAGTAAGGGAGACAAAAAAAACAACTGAAAAGAGAGACAGAGTCAGCGGTGAGGTGATAACCAAGCCTGAACCCGTCCTCTATTACAACAGCTCGATGGGCGGTATCGACCGAGAAGACCAACAGCTCGCTTCTTTTCCTACAATGAGGAGATATGCTAAAGGGTATAAGATTTTTTTTTATATTGGACATAGCTCTCTTCAACTCTTATGTTGTTTAAAAAAAATCACCCAGAAGAAGATAGGATTTGCTGAGTTCAAAAATAAATTCACGGAGCAAGTGTTCCAGACCAGACAACTACCGGCCTACAAACGAAGAGGGCGGCCATCAGCGTCTGAAACCCCTCTACGGCTTCAAGCAGCTTCTTGGGGTCATTTTCCAAGACAAATCCCACCTAATGAAGTGATGCAAAACCCATCAAGACGCTGCAAAGTTTGTGGTGCACAAGGGAAGCGTGTGTGACAGTCGGTGGGAGTGCGAAATGTGCCTTGTTGCGCTTCACCTACCCGAATGTTTCAAGACATATCATACTAAGTTGAACTTTGCTTGATATCTTTTTGAGTATACAACATGTCAATCAGTGTTTTAAGGCAGAACAGTAAGATATTTTTAACTTTTATAGTCAACAATTTTTAAAAAAAGGCAAACAATTTTTTATTTTGTATTATATGGTATATAAAAAAATTATAAAAATACTTTTAACCAATAAAATGGTTTTTTTTAATCTACATTCAATTCTGATTAGAAAATAACAGTATTTGATATACAAATACAAAATTCTGAGTGCAGGTAAAAATATTGTAAATTGTGTAAAATTGCACAGAAATAATTCATTTTTTGGCCCGGTTAGGTGTAAAAATAAGTTTAAGCGAAGGGGTTAGTAGTAAATATTGTTTTGTCAGGTTGATGCTCCAATGGACAAGTCTATTTTTATCGCCGCGTAGATAATGATGATTCGGGGAGAGGAGGGGCGTCACTCAACGTGCGGCGGCCGAAGCACTAGCGCTGTATCTGCATGTGTATTGTGTAGTGTGTACGCACTCATTTGACTGTGTTTCTAGGACGCGCGTTGCAACGCTCCCATGTGCCGTGTGTACAGCGTGTATGGCTATGATTTGAAACAACGTTTAGCATTCAACGTCGTGGCCCGTGAGCAACTATAAAAAACAACAGCAGGCCTTTGTTGCTAACAAAAATAGATGGAAACAGACAATTTTGAATTGTGATTGATAAATCACATTATTGTTATTACAATTGTTGTGTTTATTGATTTTGTAGGTTTTGTTCGTCACAGAGACATGGCATGCATATGTTTATTATTACCTGCGTAATTCCCCATGGCCGACAGTCCATGGCAGATTGGAGACAAAGATTCTTAGGTAGCTCATTGTAAACTTTTTATTTCTCAACTCTTAGTAATCTCTAGCAAATGGATGGTATGAGCTTTCATCAAATCGTTGACATCAATTCCAGACTCAACTCCGAGGTTGTTTAGTGGAATCTGTTCACAACGTAAACTCCACTTATGTAGAAGATGCTCTGAAATTATCAAAACAAATTAAGTCTAATTTTTTCAAAAGCGTTTCATAGGGAAAAGTTACCAACAGACCTTTAAGCGAATGTTAACATAACAACAATAACATAAGAGTAACCAACTTAGCTTCACAGTTTGATAATTATTGGAAGTTAAGGGGGGTAAAAATAATTTTTAAAAGTGGAGACTTGGGCTAACTTGTGACTAAGACTTGGATAGTTTTTTCAGGTATTTTACGTAAAAACTTACCTACTTAGGTTTTAAGGTAAAGACTTACAATTTCAACAATCAGACTTACCAATGGACCAGTCAGCACTCCTCTCCTGGTAAGTGCAGTAGAACCTTGCGTGAGGGCTTGCTTCTAGTAAGAAAGCGACAGTGACGATGATATCCTCAAACACTGACGGCTCGTAGAAACAATCAGAACCGATGATGAGATCTATAGGACCGAGAGTAAAGGTGTTGGCCAGGAACAAACCCCAGGTCAGACCGACTACACGCACCTGCATAAAACAAAGTTTGAACAACATTTTACATGCATACAGTAGTCTAGTTGCAACGTAAAACACCCAAATACTGACTGCCCCCCAATTAACGAGCAAGCTGAATTAAAACACTTGTAATAGTATCTACACCAATAGTACTACCGTATCGATTGTTTGAATAGTGTTGTGAACCCTTAAGTTTAACACACGACGTATAAGTTGCTCAGTTGACAGTTTAGCAGTTGGTATACACTGCGTTTATTCAGCCGCTGTTCTGCTGTGTTCGGTTTTCGTTAGTGTAGCATCTGGTGTAAGGAATAAGGTAAGTTCCATAAGTTATACTAAATATAGCCTATATAGGAAAGTGAATATTTTTATGTACCGGTAATAGTTTAATAACAATTTACTATGATTGATTTGTTGTTTAATATCAAAGATGGCATGTTAAAAACAATGAATTTGCTATCATTAACTCGTCGTCATCAATGATGGGAGTGTTAGGGACTTTCAGGAGTGATTTGATGGCTAATGAATTTGTCACTGCCAAAATACATACTAATTGTAGATCTCTAACCTTAATTTAAGCCCGTTCGGTATTTGGACAAGAAAAAACGTCAATCGTCCAAATACCGAAAGCAGTGTTCAGTATTCGGCTGGATACTAGTTTTATGTTTTAAACCTATGGAATTTATTTTTTCCTTAAGGAAACATTAAAAGTGTGATCAATGTTCATATTTAAAGGCAAAAAACAACAGCCAAAATCCGAACAAGCATAGATTAGATTTTGCCGAGAACGAAATGCCTGAAAAACGTGTTCGGTATTTGGCTGATAGGCCTAACTTTCCTAAAGTCTTTAACACATATTTATACTGTTAAAAATCGTCCAAATGTGCTACGTTTTTACATTTATAGAAAAAATCGGAAACAAAAATCAAATTGAGCCTGAAGTTATTTTTGTTTGGTCAAAGATATATTCGTAAACCATACTGAGCAAAATATTTGGTTTTAGGCCAATTACAAGGTTTAGGTTTTAGAATCAAAATTACCTCGTATTTTTATGTTATAAACGCCGTTTATATTACTTGTAAGTTTTAAAAACCTACAAGAATGTTTTTGTTTTGTTCACAGAGAATGTCAACCATTCCAAATCCACCAAAGGAAATACTCGGCAGAAGAAGTGGTGAAAGCGGTGGAAGCCATAAGATGTGGGAAGACTTTGTCTGCTGCTTTGAAGGCATTCGGCGTGCCAAAAACAACGCTGCACAGCCGGATGATGTAACAATGAGAAAACAAAACTAGCCAAGTAGCCCAACTTAACTAACTTGAACCAAAAATTCAGCACATATTTCAATTAGGCTAATGTTACAACTCATTCTGTACAACATAATTCAAACTTATATTGTGACTTGATACCATCTTATCATCTATAAGAATAAACAGAAAAGTTTCAATAATTTCTTAGAAAAATAGTTTACACTGAAAACTTAAATCAGACTAACCTGATTGCTTTGCAGACCGTTAAGCTCACAGACTCTGCGTAAATGCTGTAGACTACAAGGCAAAGAAGCGCTCTCTGTTAAGGTGACGCTTGCACCAAGTTTAGCAGCTACAACACCAGGTAGCCCAGTGCCTGCACCGAGCTCAACAATGTGCTTGCCGCCAAGTTCTGCCCGCCGCTCCCACAAGTACCAAGCAAGTATCGGCGCACTCGGCCACACGTATGAGCTGTAGGAGGCTTGTAACTGCTATGGGAATAGAGAATGGGGTTATTATGCATAATAAGGTGACCATGAGAATCTAAACTAATTCATATATCACCTGAAACTAGTTTTGGTATTTATTGCGATTAACGTGACCATGGGAACCTATATAGATTTATATATCACCAGAAACTAGATTTTTAGTTGAAAATAATGGTGCAAAAATTTTTCCGCGCTCACAAATTTTAACGCAATTACGGCCGCTTAAAGCCCACCTGCTGTTTTTTTTTGTTTGCTTTTATAAATTGACTAGGCCTGACCTATTTGTTAGGCTACGATATTTCCTCACCAGAAACTTTATAACGTTAATTCTAAGTGATTAAAGTAACTATTAGAGTATTAGACTCACTTTTAACCTTAAAATAACGGTACAAAATTCTCAGAGGTCACGAATATTAACTAAGATAGTTTGAAGTTTCGATTTATTTTATTTACATTCTTGTCTGCTTGCGGTCAACTAAAACTGAAAATACGAAAACTGAAGAGAGAAGAGGTATTTATTTACTATAGGTGCATCGAAACAAATTTTTAATTTTGATAGCCTATCTTACTTTATAGTTTATTTACCTCCTGAATCCAAATATACCATTTATTAGTTTTCACCGCTGATGAATATTTCTCAAGAAATAGCCATAAAAATATGCAACATTTAACAATAAACAAGGTAGGATGGATGACATTTACAAGTGGAATGAACTGTGGATTAACTAAGCCTACAGCTGATAGTTTTCAACCACACGACAACTGGAGGTACTGTAACAACTTTTGAACTTAACCTTCCATCGGGCGCATCACGGAAGTGGGTCGCCGGAATTTTATCCCCCTGGGCAAAGCTGACGTCACTATGACGTAGTAACCTGAGTGGCTAAAAGTTTCTTCGCGGCCGGAATTTTACCCCCACGGATTTGAAAGTCTAATGAAAATAGACAGAGCGTGATTAATTAGATTAGCAATAAAAACCGGAATTTTACCCCCTGTCCATATAACTAGCGTTTAGACAACTGAAGATGTACGGGCTGGATTTTTACCCCGGAATTTTACCCCTGGATTTTTACCCCCCGGAGTTTTACCCCCGGATTTTTATCCCCGGAATTTTACCCCCTGGCCGATTTTAGAAATTGAATGTTTGATTTTCTTATTTCTGTTTTTAATTAATTGTAAACATTTCATTATTTAGTAGCCTAACTTTATTTATTCATTTTGTAAAGAAATGTTCGAAACAATTATCATTCAGTTGATTGTTTATACGTCATATTAACCAACTGTTAGCTTCAAAGATCGAATCCTAATTACTAGAATCTCAAAATTAAAATTAAAAACCTGTTCGGTTAGTTAATGTTACAAATAAATTAATATAGGCTACTTAATAATAAAATGTTTACTATTAAATTAAAACAGAATGAAGATAATTAATCTTTCTCACTAATTTATATATCTGGCCAGGGGGTAAAATTCCGGAGGTAAAATTCCGGGGGTAAAAATCCCGGGGGTAAAATTCCGGGGGTAAAATTCCAGGGTGTAAAATTCCGGGGGTAAAAATTCGGGCCGAACACTCTAGGTTTTTATAATTTGATGTGTTCTGATTAAATTCACAACCGTGAAAATATAATGTTTAATTCCGCGTTTAATCCATCGAGCTGATGTCGCGAAACTCAAAAGTTCGCGGCCGGAATTTTACCCCCTGGTTTGTGACGTCACGTTTGCCCAGGGGGTAAAATTCCAGGGGGATAAAAATCTGCTACCCCTTGGAAGTTACCTCCGGGTCACTACTTTTTTCGTTATAAAAACCATAGTATGTGTTTGGCAGGGCTGTGGCCTGATTTACCTCACGAACCTCTTTTGCGGAATCAGTTTTGTATACTCTTACCCCTTTCCCAGTTGTCAGTCGACCTTGGGGAGTGGTTCGCGTAACTACTGGAAGTAGCTTCCGTGAGCGCCCTGTGATGCAACAGGTTTCCCGGAGCCTAGTTCCGTGTGCGCCCTTGTGTTTGACCTTATTTAGCGATATTATAAAATGGATGAAGAAGAACTAATTGCGAGATTGTTGGCTAGTGTTGAAAGGGAAGGCGAGGAAACACATTTAGTAGCCAAAACTAATGGTGCGTGAGTTCGGAAACTTTTTTTTTTCAAGAAAAAGAACTTTGACAAAATGTGTAGTCCTTCTAACAAATGATTTTTTGCACTAAACAATAGGTGTTTTATTTTAAACACCATAGCAACTTTTTCTTAAGAACTTTGACAAAGAAAGTTGTCCTTATGAAAATGATCTTTTTTGATAATAGGCTACCATAGGTGTTTTTATGTCATACACTGATGCAATTTTTGTCTAAGAGCTTTGATTGAATGAGTTGTCCTTGTACAAAATTATTATTTTTAATAGACCATGTACATGTTTTTATGTCATACAATAGCCTATTACAATTTGTTTTCTAATATACGATAGTAGGCCGTATAAGTACAAAAAGTAAATCTTTTTTATTCACAACACTTAACTTACGTATTTTTATTTATTATTATAACATTTTCCATTTGATATACAACTTAAGTAATAGTGTAATAAATCATATAAGGCTAAAAAGGTTTTTTGCAGTTTAATTGCTATTAAAATATTTTTTACTCATCATTGTATAGTTTTTGTACTCCCGGAGGTAACTTCCGTGAGCGCCCTTTGGCGTTAGAAAATCAATGCGCCCGACGGAAGGTTAATTAAACTCACTCTGATTCTGTCATCGGCAATAGGCCTAGTATCTCAAATAATTGATATAATTGACGTTACTTCACTAACACTACAACTAGAACACAAAACAAAAATACTCATATAATCATACTGTGCTGCTTAGTGCTTCTGCTACACTGTCACAAGTTCAGAAGTGAAGAGAGTAACATAGTCTAACAAAATTAGACAAGAAAACGACAATAACTGGAAAGATCTGGAAGTACCCACAGCTAACTCTACAAAATTTCTTGGAATCATTTTAGACAACCACCTAAATTGGCAAGACACATTGAACTTCTATGAAAAAATTAAATTCCGCACTATATGTCATAAGGATGCATTGCACGACGTCCAAGTGCCACGACGTCCAATAATATTTATTCAGTGCCACGACGTCCAAAACATAATTTTTGAGTTGTTGCACGACGTCCAAGTGCCACGACGTCCAAAAGTACAGTAACTGCCAAAAATATAGTCTTTCTACAAGCTTTGGACGTCGTGGCACTTGGACGTCGTGAAACAGCGCACTATAGAATTGTAAAAAAGTAACATTTGCACGACATCCAAAGTCGCTGCCAGTTGCACGACGTCCAAGTGCCACGACGTCCAATAAATATTTGACTGTTGCACGACGTCCAATATAGCTCAGCGCTGTTGCACGACGTCCAAGCTCCTTCATGATGACCGGCTACTTGCCGAACAGTGTTCTCTCGTGTAAAATGCTTATGGAACGTTTATTAGTTATATATACATGGGTATATGTTCTTGTTCATAAATATATATACTATGAATATTTGTACCATTAATTGAAACATCATAAAGTAAAAAAAAAACATAAAAAGAAAAAATAAACAAGGCAACAGTTGGAAAACTATAAGATTTACATGGTTTGAAAAATGATGACATTTTGTTAACAACCGATAAACTTCATTATGTTTGGAGTAAGCTTTTAAATACTTATTTTTTCAAGACTAGATGAATGTACATTGATCAACATGATCTTTGAAAACTATTTTTTATACCCTCATTTTTATTTTTACTAGTATAAAGAATAGAATGCCTTTACGAACTGTTTTTTAGGCTTCAATGAAATTTTCTTATGTCGCAAATATGTTTATTAATAGTATTCACTTAACATTGACTTAATTTTATTTCAATAAATTTTGTGTTTGTGTTTTGCTACACCACTTATTAAATTGCAACCAATGAGAATATCATATAAATAAGTTGTACACAGGCTTCTTTTGTTTCCCCAACTCTAAAATACAACGCACATGAATTGAAAATGTTGAAAATGTTATGTACTATAGGTTTTAATAGTAGGCCTACTGTAGCGAATCGAATATCAATAAAATTAACGTATAACAATAAATTTACATATTCCTAGATTATAATTGAATGTGTTTACGAAGGAACACCACAACCTAAAAATTCTACATTACAGTATATTTACTCAAGATTTATTGTTTTCATATAGCACAGTTGATGTTGCCAACTAGCGTGGGAGCGGAAGTCCTGATAAAGGCTGGTTCTCGGAAAAGTAATAAACTTATAGTTTGAATGAAAGATGTTTTTTATTTTGTACAGGATTCATGGGATCCTCAGCATCAAGTACAAACTGCAAAATGTGTGTCGAAGGTCTGATTAGACCTTCAGCAACTGATCCGTTTTTTACCTTCCTTTAATTTATTCTTTTTCGTGTTGTGCTTCATGTAACATACATAGACTAGAGGACCGCTCATGCCTTTGACAAATAAATTAACATTTTCGTACAAATACAAATCAATATCGTCATTAGACAAGAATTAAAAAATAAAATTTATAAACATAACCTACCACGGCATATTCTTGAACAAGTATGCCTACAAACCTACGATAAGCATGTTTGTTATTATTATACTTAACCTTCAAATGCTATGACTTAGGGTATTCCTGCTTTCCTAGATAAAACATGCGAACTAATTGCGAGTGCGACGTGAACTTAGAAAAAGACTAGTAAGAATTTACAACTGTGAATTTCTGAGAATTGATTGACAGTTCAGACGAACCTATGGCCACAGACTACGGAAACCTACAGTTTTATTGTATTAGTATACTGTATTTGTATTATTGTGTTACTAGCAGAGTACCCGTCCTTCGTACGGGGTTGGCATATAAGTATAAATGCTTATTGCCGTTATGGGAGAGGACACGATTTAAAAAAACTGGTCTTTTAATTTATACGGTATCCTATTGTGTAGCACACATCTACCATAGTCCTGATGTTCTA